ACTTTACATTTGTCGACTTTGAATTTCATCTGCCATTTTTCAGACCATTCGAAAAATTTGTTTAGATCTTCCTGTAGTTTTGCCGAGTCCTCGTCAGATTTGATAACGCGTCCTATTTTAGTGTCATCAGCAAATTTACTTATGTTGCTGTCTATGCCGATATCTATGTCGTTTATGTATATAATAAACAATAATGGTCCAAGTACTGAGCCTTGGGGAACTCCACTTGTGACGTTGCTCCAATGGGACTTAGTGCCGTTAATGCTCACTCGCTGTTTCCTGTCCTGTAACCACGCCCTAATCCATTTAAGGATGTCACCTTTGATGCCATGAGCTTCTACCTTTCTAATTAGTCTTTCGTGGGGGACTCTGTCGAAGGCTTTGCTAAAGTCGAGATATACCACATCATAATTGTGCCCCTCGTCCACTACATATAACAACATCCATCATCACTACATATAACATCATCATCCATCACCACTACATATAACACCATCCATCTTCACTACATATAACACCATCCATCATCACTACAGATCGGTAAAGTAGTTTCCAAGATTCTCGTGCGGACACACAAACACACAGACCTACTTCTTTGTTTTAGATATATAGATGAACTAACACACTCTCCTTGTATGGGCGAACTTACTGACGTAATCATGAAGGTAAATTCCCTGTAAATGTTCCCCGACTCCGAACACTAGGTGTTGATACTTTCTTAGAACTGTTTTTGGAGGTCAGGAATCCCAGTAATAATAACACTGTTACCTGCGCTTCCTTGTTATGAAGCAATTATTTTAAAAATAATATTTTTCCTACCCTGACTCATGCCACCAAATTTAGAGACACTCATAACGAGGGAAGTAGTCTGAAATCTTTGTCTGATCTTCAGATCATCTTTGTCCGCTCTTCTAATGGTCTTTGTCCGATCCTATGATCGTCTTTGTCCGATACTCTGGTGGTCTTTGTCCGATTTTCTGATGGTCTTTGTCCAATTCTCTGATGGTCAATGTCCGATTCTCTGATGGTCTTTGTCCGACTCTGATGTTTGTCAAATTCTCAGATGGTCTTTGTCCGATCTCCTGATGGTCTTTGTCCGATCTCCTGATGGTCTTTGTCCGATTCTCAGATGGTCTTTGTCCGATCCGCTGGTTTTGTCCGATATCTGATGGTCTTTGTCCGCTCCGCTGATGGTCTTTGTCCGTTCCGCCGATGGTCTTTGTCCGCTCCGCTCATGGTCTTTGTCCGATCCTCCGATGGTCTTTGTCCGATCCATATGTCCTAGACTGTTGTGGCGCTAAGCTCATATTCATAATCTCCTTTAAGGTAGAAAATTTTCCTCTTTGAACTTATGATAGAGATAAGCTCCGAAAATTTATCAAGAAAGTTCCTTACATTAGTGTGGGATCTTCTGTAGATTACTCCTACTAGGATATTTCGTGTGTCGTTACGTAATTTAGTGAAAACACTCTCCATGTACTACTCCTGAACCTTTAAATAATCTCTTACAGAAGTGTTATACATGATATCAACATATAGGGCGACACCACCACTGTGTCGTGACGTGTTGACGCAGTGTCTATTATAATTAGGAATGTTATACAAATGTTCAATATCGTTAGTGAGTTTGGTCTCAGAACCCAGGTACATAAAATTTGTGGGCAATAGAAGATAAACACTGATCTATAACGGTATCTAGATGAAGGGGAATACTGCTGATGTTATGGCTAATTAAGGAGAAGGAATGAGGTAGAAGAAGACTAGAACTAAACTCTGGAGAGTCAGGAAGGTAACAGGAACAGTTGGGGTTGGTGTAACCCAGTGAGTTTTGTAGAAAGGCGTCAAGATCAACATGAGGGAGTATTGTGTCGACACCATGGGTAAATGGGGTGTAACACATACGGTCTAGCACATCTAAGGGAACAACACCAGCATCATCAGTGTAGGAATATTGGTACTGATTAAGGAACAGCAAAAACTCAGGGTCACTGAGGTGTAAAAATGGAATATGAAAGAAAGTTATAATAGTGGGGGGTAACGTACTCACAAGTGCTACAACCAACAGAATTAAGATGACTGTTGAGGGAGGTTTCCAGATTGAGTCATTTGGTTCTGAGCGTCGCTGGTTTCCACCTTAGAGGGTGGACGTGTACCCTAGTTGGCCGACAGGGGTGGAAACTCCTCAGGTGATAGAGGCAGTGGTTAGTCCCAAAACAAACTTGACCAAACAGGCAGCCATAATGGAAGGATCCAATAATGAATGAAGGATTATGAATATGATCTTAGCGCCACAACAGTCTAGGTCATATGGATCGGACAAAGACCATCAGATAATCGGACAAAACCAGCGGATCGGACAAAGACCATCAGAGTATCGGACAAAGACCATCAGAGGATTGGACAAAGACCATCAGATAATCGGACAAAACCAGCGGATCGGACAAAGACCATCAGAGTATCGGACAACGACCATCAGCGGATCGGACAAAGACCACCAGAGTATCGAACAAAGACCATCAGAGGATCGGACAAAGACCATCAGATAATCGAACAAAACCAACGGATCGGACAAAGACCATCAGAGTATCGGACAAAGACCATCAGAGGATCGGACAAAGACCATCAGATAATCGGACAAAACCAGCGGATCGGACAAAGACCATCAGAGAATCGGACAAAGACCATCAGAGGATCGGACAAAGACCATCAGATAATCGGAGTAAACCAGCGGATCGAACAAAGACCATCAGAGAATAGGACAAAGACCATCAGCGTATTGGACAAAGACCATCAGAAAATCGGACAAAACCAGCGGATCGGACAAAGACCATCAGAGTATCGGACAAAGGCCATCAGAGGATCGGACAAAGACCATCAGATAATCGGACAAAACCAGCGGATCCGACAAAGACCATCAGAGAATCGGACAAAGACCTTCAGACGATCGGACAAAGACCATCAGATAATTATCCGCTGGTTTTGTCAGATTATAATCGGACAAAACCAGCGGATCGGACAAAGACCATCAGAGGATCGGACAAAGACCATCAGATAATCGGACAAAACCAGCGGATCGGACAAAGACCATCAGAGGATCGGACAAAGACCATCAGATAATCGGACAAAACCAGCGGATCGGACAAAGACCATCAGAGGATCGGACAAAGACCATCAGATAATCGGACAAAACCAGCGGATCGGACAAAGACCATCAGAGTATCGGACAAATACCATCAGAGGATCGGACAAAGACCATCAGATAATCGGACAAAACCAGCAGGTCATCGGACAAAGACCATCAGAGTATCGGACAAAGACCATCAGAGTATCGGACAAGACCATCAGAGTATCGGACAAATACCATCAGAGGATCGGACAAAGACCATCAGAGGATCGGACAAACACCATCAGAGGATCGGACAAAGATGATCAAAGGATCGGACATTGACCATCAGAGGATCGGATGAGATGATCAAAGGGTCGGACAAAGACCATCAGAGTATAGGACAAAGATGAAAAAGGATCGGACAAAGACCACCAGAGTATCGGACAAAGATGATCAGCGGATCGGACAAACACCATCAGAGGATCGGACAAAGATGATCAAAGGATCGGACAAAGACCATCAGAGGATCGGACAAAGATGATCAGAGGATCGGACAAAGACCATCAGAGGATCGGACAAAGATCATCAGAGGATCGGAAAAGATGATCAAAGGGTCGGACAAAGACCATCAGAGTATCTGTCAAAGACGATCAGAGTATCGGACAAAGATGATCAGCGGATCGGACAAAGATCATCAGAGGATCGGAAAAGATGATCAAAGGGTCGGACAAAGACCATCAGAGAATCGGACAAAGATGAAAAAGGATCGGACAAAGACCACCAGAGTATCTGACAAAGATGATCCGAGGATCGGATATTGATCATCAGAGGATCGGAAAAGATGATCAAAGGATCGGACAAAGACCATCAGAGGATCGGACATAGATGATCTTAAGATCGGACTACTTCCCTCGTCATGAATATCTCTTTGGTGGCCTGGGTCAGGGTAGGAAAAAATATTATTTGTAAAATAATTGCTTCATAACACGGAAGCGCAGGTAACAGTGTTATTATTACTGGGATTCCTAACCTCCAAAAACAGTTCTAAGAAAGTATCAACACCTAGTGTTCGGAGTCGGGGAACATTTACAGGGAATTTACCTTCATGATGACGTCAGTAAGTTCGCCCATACAAGGAGAGTGTGTTAGTTCATCTATATATATAAAACACAGAAGTAGGTCTGTCTGTGTGTGTGTGTCCGCACGAGAATCTTGGAAACTACTTTACCGATCTGTAGTGATGATGGATGGTGTTATATGTAGTGAAGATGGATGTTGTTATATGTAGTGGTGATGATGATGATGTTATATGTAGTGATGATGGATGTTGTTATATGTAGTGATGATGGGTGGTGTTTTATGTAGTGATGATGGGTGGTGTTATATGTAGTGATGATGGATGGTGTTATATGTAGTAGGGTGTGTCATAGGAGGGAAGATCAGCTAAAACTAATGGCCCATCACTTTTTTGGTAGATTTTAGTGTATATCGAGGGTTCGATTCCTTGCTGGTGAGGTCGTTGATTATATGTTCAAAGTTCGCGTGTTATATGGACTAAAAATGAAGTATATATATGTACCTCGCATTTCATACCAGCTGGATTCGGTAAAATGCTACTGACACCACATAAGAGGCACGGGCAGTTTCCCATTGAGGTTCACGGCGCCATCAGCTCGATGAACAGGCTTTGTGTGAAATATAACAGAGTCTAGAACTGCTTTTAGTGTCCAAGTGAGGTCAGGAAGATGGCGACCATAGAGGAGACAAAATATAACAACATTACAGAATAAATCACGGTTTAAAATATTATTATTTGGTACTATATTATTATTGTATTATATGTCGTCTTACATACAGTATTGTGGCTAATGCGGTGTTTCCTTTTTCACTACAGGGAGCGATAGTACACAACCCCAACAGTAATTACCGACCACAAGTGGTGTTTGGTCCCAGACCTAGACCACGGCCCACCTGGTACTACAACCAGCCTTATTGGTACTATAGTGGATAGCCGCTGGTACTACCCCTGCAGCTACCACCACCATCCTTACTAATGCTGAGTTGTACCGTACCTCTGACCCGGGTGGGACAGGTCCTGTCTAAACACACAGAAGCTCGTCCTGTGTATAGTCAAAATTCACTCTCTGAGGACCAACTTAAACTGAACATTCATAACAATGATCTACTTTTGTCTTCTGAGGTTCACTTTTATTATAAATCTGATAGTGGAGATTAATTTCACCTTTAAGGAATAGTTTAAGCTAAACAAACTATGTGGAGTATAATAGCTTTATTATGTGGAGCTCTATAGCTTTACTATGTTGAGTTGAATCCTTCCATTTACTTTAAACAATCACTGCTGAATGTTCTTTAAGGTGAGTCTGCCAGGTTCCTTGAAAGTAGCATAAATAAATGTTTATGGGTTAAATTATGACATCACCTTAATTAACGCTCTGAGCTGTGAGCGTTAATAAAAATATGAAGCTGATATGTATCTGAGGTTCAGGAGCCTCACGTGTATCATGAGCGAGAGAGAGTGTAGGACTGAGGGTAGAGTCAGGCCAGGGGTCTGGTCCTTACTGTTGACATAGCCAGGTCACAGGGCTATAGGTCAGATGTCAAGAGGTCATCTGTTAGACAAGAAGATTCATTACCATACATCACTAACTTCAGTATTAGAGAGAAAATGGTAGACACTGGCTCATAGTTTACTCACCGTGGGTGTAGTAATTATATAGTGCACATTTATATAAGTATTACTGTCTGTTAGACAGGGGATAATGTATAACCTAACTGTCTCAGAACTAACTACCGTCTATAGTCGTTCAGATTAATAATAATTGTTAAGTCTCTCTACGCCTCAAGAACTTAATACAATTCTATGAGGTGATAATGAAAAGTTTTGTCTTAAGTCTTTTGATAAAGTTTAGTGTTTGTTATAGAGTCTGTCTGTACACCCTACTTCTCTTATGAGGTAAATACTTGTTTCTTAATGTTTATGTTGTTAATACAATTGTTTATTATACGACCATTCATAAATATATTATAATTTAAATGGATTTCCTGACTGCCCCTTTCGGCTGTCCAGTATTACGAAACGAGACACTGACAATTCTTAAGAAAAAAATATTATTTTACGGGAGAAAATATATTATAAAATAATCTTTCTTAGACCAAAATATTACCAATGGGTCTCTCACATGACAAACACAAAGGGACTTAACACGGCAACATATATTACCAAACACTGAAGTCATGTAGATCTTCCTAATAATTTGAAACTTTACATTTTAATTCCTCTTCCTACACATTATTAGCCTCAATCATTATAAATTTTCCATGACTATAACTGATAATTTTAGTCTGTTACAAACAGTACCAGGACAGTATGAGTAGAGTTTAGAGTCGGAGAACTTATACAGGACAAGTATAGTGATGGCGTCAAGTAAAGGAGTGTTTGTGAGTTTACAGACATACAGTATATAAGGAAGCAAACAAGCACGAGGAACTTCTCGGTTTCGTTGATGACAGCACTGGGTTCTTACAGACGCTGGAACGGGTTGGTTCACCTTAGTCTCAACTAAGGTCAATAGAAGAGTTCCATGTCCTTTGGTCTCAACTATCCATTCTTACGCTGATCATTCTACTCTTCATTCTTCTTCACATTTTCCCCTTCCCCCTAACTCTCAAACTAGATCTGTTTCTAGAGCTGATATCATTACACCTATCAATGCCGATCTGTGCAGTATCTCCGACTGGGGAGGTGGAAACTTGGTTAAATTCAATAGTAATAAAACTCAGTATTTACCAATTACACTTTCTATACTAGATGATCTCCCACCAATCACGTTTCAGGATGCAATTATTCTGCAAAATTCTTAAATAGATATGCTAGGCCTCACCATTTCCCCTAATATGTCAAGGAAGCCACACATCCTCAACACTGCTAAAGCTGCCTCCCGAAAGCTGGGCATGCTGTACAGATGGTGTAGCTACTTCACTACTGAGCAGTTGCTTCAAGTATATAAGGGATTCATTCGTCCGAACTTGGAGTACTGCTCTCATATCTGGGGTGGCTCTTCTTCTGTCCAACTGTTAGATAGGGTGGAATCTAAGGCATTTCGTCTTATTAACTCTCCTTATTTAATTGGCAATCTTTCTTCCCTCTCTGTTCGCCGCAATGTTGCTTCACTCTCTCTCTCCTTTACAGGTACTGTAATGGGCAATGTTCGGTGGATTTCGCATCCTGTGTACCGCCAGCAAAGCCGTGGGCTCGTAACACACGTCTTGCCCGCGGTGCCCACCATATCTCTGTGGATGTCGGTCACACTAGAATATCCCGTTACAGTACAACCCTCTTTCCTCAAACAGCCAAACTTTGGAAAGCTCTGCCTTTTGTGTTTTGTTACGAACCCCTCCACCCAGCACTACGAACCACGCCATCTATTGTCCTGATCTACCTACCCAGCACCCCGAGCAACGCCATCTAGGGACGAGACACGAGTATGACTCGTCTTAGTTACCACTCCGAGGTTTCCCTTCTCCATATCCTGGGTTGCGTCACCTCCTCAGTCTTCTTTGTCAGCTCCAATTCGAGGAGAGGGCACTTGGCTCTGGGAAGTGACCACAGGATCATCTATCCTCTAAACCTACGTGCAGTGACTACCTACCGTCTTCTACAATACTCAGCCTTACTCGTCAGCCATCTCAGCTCCTCACTTAAGTACTTATATGTTGTATTAACTCCCCCACGTCCACTTGCTTCAAGATTGTTTTATGTTTATTAATATGTATATACTGTTAATGTTTAGGTTAAGTTTGGTTAAGGGTAATTTATAAGCTGAATATTTTGTAAAGGGATTTATGGTACTCTATTATATACAACGAAAACTCGCATCCTTTGTCTACCCTTTTATAGTCCGATTGTCTTTGTTTTTTTTTATTGTTGTTACCTGTTGGGATCTGGGTAGACGTATAACTATATTCTAAATCCCCAACTCGTAACAAATGGCGACCGTGACAGGACACGACCTTAAGTACCATATTCCTTCCTCCCTTGTTACTCAGTGTTAATTATTCCTCCCAGTCACTTCTGTTCACAATTGCTTTACGGTAGTTTAAAGTTTCCTTCATATGTGTGTGCATATATTGGTATTATCGTATAGTAAGAGTGACAGACGTAGGATATTAGGTTCCAAGTGTCATAAGGCTTACCTGTTATTACACGTGGCAGTTGTGTAGTAAGTCTTATCGAGTGTTGGGAAGAATCCGGATCTGTTTAATGCCGTACCCTCACTCCAGAGTAGGTTGTTCCATAGTCACTAGTTTACGGTGAAGTGATATCTTGGGACGCCACGCTCTACCAGGACCCCATAATTATAAAGCCTCAATTATTGTTCTTCTCATTATCTCATTCAGGGTCAATCATACCATTTATCAGGGTTGTTAATCCGGATCTTTATATTAATGCCGTAATACGCCCTACCTCTTTCAAGTATATCAGGGTTGTTAATCCGGATCTTTATATTAATGCCGTAATACGCCCTACCTCTTTCAAGTCTTATCCTTATCTAAGGAGCTTCTCAGAAGAACAATAATCATAAGTGTAATTTCCCTAGGTATAACTTGGTTGGTTTCAGGACTTTCTGGTTATCCACTGCCGTGATATTTTCTAGGGTTATCCACTTATCTTATCTTTTGACCATTAGTTAATTTATCCTATTTTTCTTAACAATGGCCACCTCAGGTTTTGATCTCCAGGATTTTATTGAAAATCCTTCCGTAGCTAAATTACGTGTTAATATCCTGAAGAAAGAATGGAAAGAAATAGCCAACTATTACAATATCCCATTTTCACAGCAACTGACTAAGGAAATGTTAAAAAATCATGTGATTGAAGTGTTGGTTCAACAAGAAGTTTTAAAAGAATCCGCTGTTGACAGATTAACGCCCATGTCCAAGAAACTTCAACCACTATCCACCACCCCTCCTCACTCAGAAGTTGCCTCAGGTCTGGCTAGCCCTCAAGAAGAAACGCAACGAATAGACGCCTTAGAACTAGAACGAGCTAGGTTCGAGTTCCAAATCAAAATGAAAGAACTAGAGTTGGAACAGACCAAGTTGGAGCAAAAGTTGGAGCATGAGGGAAGGTCGGAACAGGCCAAGTTGGAGCATGAGGAAATGATGGAACGGGCCAAGTTGGAGCAGGAGGTTAGACTGAAAGAACTACAGGTAAGAGAGATAGAAGTCACCTTAACATCGGAGTTCAGATCAAAAGAAGTGGCATTAAGAGAGAAACTAGCTGCTTTTAACCCTGCTACTGCTTCTTCCCTTGTTCCCGGGTTTGATGAATCCGATATGGACGGGTCATTTAGGACTTTTGAGAAAATAGCCGGGAAGAATGAGTGGCCAAAGGACCAGTGGGTGTCAGTGTTAGTTCCTAAATTATATGGTAAGGCTCTTAGAGTTTATAACTGTTTAGACCAGACTGATGACTATGATAACGTAAAAAAGAATATCCTCACCTCTTATGCTATCACGCCAGATGGATACCGGCAGAAGTTTCGTAAACTAACCAAACCATTTTCACACACCTTTGTTGAGTTTGCTCAAGAAAAGCTTAGGTTTTTTAAGAAGTGGTTAGAGGCTACAGAGACCTCCACATTTCAGGATTTGTTAAATTTGGTAGTCCTGGAGGAGTGGAAGAGCAAGATACCATTTCACATCTTGAAGCATGTGGAGGCGTGGAGAAGTTAATTTAGGGGCGTGCTGCTGAGCTGCTGATGCGTACGCTTTGTTGGTGGAGTCACTGGGCAGTAGAGAACGTGGTACTTCCCGACATGTTGGGTCCTCCTCTGATGATAACCTTGGGAACGTGAGTGGTAGGTCGAAAGGTCCCACACCTACTCCCCCCGATGCAACCAAGCTTACTTGTTCTTACTGTAAAAACCCAGGCCATACGATCCAGAATTGTAAACACCCAAAGTGTCGAATTGCTAAAAGTAGTTCCCTGGATCCCAAATCCAAACCAATAGCAAACACCAATGTGGAAAGGCCCCATCAGGATCTCTTCTCTTCATTCACCTATGAGGGAAAAATTTCAATCATAGAGGGGTCTCGTTCTTTCCCTATTCGTATACTACGTGATACGGGCGCAGCACAATCTATCCTCCTGTTTAACGTCATTCCTGATATATCTACCGCATTTACTAATGAGAGTGTTCTAATTTCGGATCTCTCATCCCATTCTTCCTATCCTTTAGCTAAAGTGCACCTCCAATGTCCCTTGATTACTGGGGAAGTGCAAATAGCCATAAGGAAAGACCCAATGCCTGTGTGCGGCATTCATTTATTATTGGGTAATGACTTGGTAGGAGATCTAGTGGTTCCTAACATAAAGACAGTCGACTCTCCCTTACCTGTCAACTCCACCACTGACCTTAAAGAAACTATTCCTCATCTTTTCCCATCTTGTGCTGTCACCCGGTCACAGAGTGTGCGAAATGGGCCCTCTTCATCTAAAACCACCTCTAATATCTTCCTACCCACAGAAGATCTGTACAATAAGACCATTAGTAGGGATGAGCTCATTACAGTTCAACAATCTGATCCATCTTTGTTCAAACAGGTGATGAAAGACCTCAGTGTGGACCATTGTACATCTTCGGCTTACCACCCACCGTCCCAAGGTTGCTTGGAACGGTTCCATCAAAACTTTCAAGTCAATGCTAATAAACTATCTCCCCTAAACTATATAGTTCATACTGCTGATCGCAGAAAAGATTCACAACTTGTTCACATTAATCTCATGAAACTTTACCATTCCAGGCAGTCAGAGGAAGACATCCCAGAGGCTATAAGCCTACCTGTATTGCATACGGTTTTGTCAGGGCCGGAGCCGGAGACAGATGACATGGACCTATTGGAGAATTTAGACTTCCCTCTACCTAAAGAAAACCCTGCTAACAGTCACATACTCAACAACTTGGATGAGTATTTTTCTGTTCTGAATCCATCTCAAGCAAAAGATCTCACTAAGTTATCAACATTTCCTAA